GGGCTGTGCCCATTCAAACTACCATAGATAAGATCTGGCAAGAATTTACAACTGATCACATTAAGAAAAGAAAGGTAAACAGACTAGAAGGAGGAATCTATCATGAGTCTAAGATTTTAGGCTGTTGAAAGAGAGCTGGAGGTTGGTGAATGAGGAATCCAAAGATTGGCCTGGTAAAATAGGGTTTGATTTGAGGACTTAGAGACAGCCAGTAGAGAATAAAGATCAGTGCTAAAGCCTGAAAGGAAAGAAATGCAAATGTATGTGCTGGGGTTTGTGAGCAGGTGCTTAAAGGAGCCCTGCCTGAGGAAGAAGTGCCTTGCTAGAGGAATACACTTAATGAGCTGGTCTATAATCTCAGTTGGGGACTATACCTCTTTAGGTTTGTTTTTGTTTTTTTTTTTTGTTTGTTTTGTTTTTTTTTTGGTTTTATGAGACAGGGTTTCTCTGTTTTGGAGGCTGTCGGTCCAGCCTGGCCTCGAACTCACAGAGATCCGCCTGCCTCTGCCTCCCGAGTGCTGGGATTAAAGGTGTGCGTCACCAATGCCCGGCACCTCTTTAGTTTTATGATGCCTCTTTGCTTATTTCTTTATGGTCTCTCCATTTTCGATGATGTAAGAATTGCTTGGTAATGTGGAAACCATCTCTGAATAAACTATTTTTTACAGCCTTTAATGTTGTGCTAGTGTAAGGCAAGAAGAACTGGTTTTGTTTGTTGTGTTGTTTTTTGTGTGGGTTCAAGACAGGTTTTCTCTGTGTAACAGTCCTGGCTGTCCTGGAACTCACTCTGTAGACCAGGCTGACCTCGAACTCAGAGATCCACCTGCCTCTGACTCCCAAGTGCTGGGATTAAAGGTGTGGGCCACTACCACCTGGATTGAAAGAAGCTTTTAAAGTTTCACTTACAATAGCATCCTGAGGAATATTTAGAAATAAATTTGTGATCTTGGAGCGTAGGTCAGTGGGGGGGGGGGGGGGGAGTAGGTGTCGCACCTGCCTGCGCAGCCTGCATCCGAGAATGTAGCGAGGTGGTCGGGATAGATGACACAGAGACCGGTCGGTTGCTTTAAGAAAACTTTTTGCTCCACAAGTCGGCTTAGGAGAGGTCCCCAAGAAAAAAAACGCTTCCCTTTTTTAAAGACTTCTGCCATCCATCTACATACAATTCTCCAACACACCTCTCATAGCTCTCCCAGACTTCTCACCCTCTTGGCTGGTGGTTTAATCTCCAGCCCCAGAATCAGGGAGAAACAACAGGGGGAACAGAAAGAAGCATCTAGCCGTAGGGGGGGATCAAAGTCATGGTGTTTCAGTGAGTGAGCCCTTATCTGAGCCCTATCAAGAGCTTTATAGCACTGAATTGTTTTCAGTAAACATTATCTCGCTGCCTGCTCCCAGGCCGAAGGGGAAGGGAGAGAGAGGAAAACAGTTGTGATAGGGAAGTAGCTCTGGAGGTAGATTTCTCACCTAGCATGAAGCCCTGGGTTCAATCTCCAGCACTTCGTAAACCAGACATGCTAGAACACATCTGTAAAACTAGCACTCCGGGCTGTAGAGGCAGGAGGATCTCCATCTGCTCACCATGTATGTGCAGATGCCTATATAGGCCAAAAGAAAGAAAAATGTCATCAGTTCCACTGGAGCTGTGGTTCCAGGCAGTTGTGAGTGACGCAATATGGACACTGGAAAGCAAACTTCGGTCTTGTGGGAGAGCCGCAAGCACTGTAACTGCTGACCCACGTCTCCAGCTCCCGGAATAAAAGCTTTTTAAAGAACAGCTACAAAATCACCCACAAAATCAACCATTTTCCATGCCACTCTTTTATTAGATTCTAGTTGGAACACTAAATTATGGGTTTCATATGGCATTGTCATACACAGGTGTCACTAGAACTTGTTCCTGTTTGCCCAGTCCTCTCTCTCCCCTTCCCGCAGTTCTCTCCTATAATCCTGCCTGGAAGTAGGCAATACTTTGTCTTTCTCCCCCCTCCTATCTTCTTGCATTTCCCCTTCTCCTTTCTTTAGATCCCGGCCCCTATCCTCCACATTGTCTCCCTTTGACTTCTGTGCTTACTTATTTAAATCCTACATATGGGAAAACACATGCAACGTTTGTCCTTCTGAGACTGAAAATACCATCTTTCTCTCGTTAAGGTCCTAATAAGGACATTCCAGGTACTAGTCTGTTATATTTCTTTGTGTTGTCTTTTTAATTATTACTTATTTTCATTTTACGTGCGTGGGTGTTTTGCCTTCGAGTATGTCCACCTACCACATGTGTGCAGTGTTTGCAGAAGACAGAGTAGGGAGGCATCAGATCCCCTGAGACTGGAGCTACAAGCAGTTGTGAGCTGCCATGTGGGTGCTGGGAACCGAACCCGGGTCCTATGGAAGAGCAACCAGAGCTTTTAACTGCTGTGCCATCTCTTCAGCCCGGCTTTTGTCTTTTGAGAGTCTACAAAGTCTGGTTGCCCTTGAACTTGGAATCCTTTCGCCTCTTATTTTAAAAATACTTTATTATTTGTATGTGCATTGGCGTTTTGCCTGCATGTATGTCTGTGTAGGCATGTCAGATCTTGGCATTATAGACATGTGTGAGCTGCCACGTGGGTGCTGGGAATTGAACCCAGGTCCTCTGGAAGAGCAGTCAGTGCTCTTAACTGTTGAGCAATCTCTCCAGTCCTCCTTTTAGCCTCTTGTTCCTGAATGGTGTGATTATACCACCTTGGGGTTCCTTCTTTTTCAAAAAAAAATTGATAATAATTTATATTATTGTATTATTTTTAAGTTGATTTCTTGATACTTTGTTGTTAACTACTTGACTGAAATTGGTCTCAATGAAGTTGAGGGCAATCAAAGTTATATTTAAAAACTGGCTTGTCTTAATATCTGGATGCTAATTTTGAGGTAGAGATCTTCTTGCAAGTTCTGGGTTTTCAATGTTAAGAAGTATCTTGGGGCTGGGGTGGAGGCTCCGTCAGTAAAGTGCTTGCAGTGCAAGAAGGAGGACCTGAGTTCAGATCCCCAGAACTCATATAAAATGAGCACCACACATCCCTGTTATCTCGCTGCAGAGAGGGAGGGTCCCTAGGGCTTGCTGGTCCATAGTCTAACTGAATAGACAAACAGGTTTGGTGAGTGACCTTGTCTCAAGAAATTAGGTGGACCTATATTAAGGGAGTCTAGTTCAGTCTTATGCAGGTTCCCCATTTGTCAGACCTGAGTCAGTGATCTCTCACTAGCTCAGGTCAGCTGATTCTGTGGATTTCCCCATCATGGTCTTGACTCCTTTGTTCTTATTATCACTCCTCCCTCACTTCCATTGTACTTCAGGAGCTTGGCCCAATGGTTAGTTGTGGATTTCTGCATCTGCTTCCATCTGTTTCTGCAAGAGAGTTCTAGCTTCTCTGGGCTTGTGGATTGATAATGGTACCACTGGGACAATATGAGGCCACTGCAGCGAGTCCAAGACCTAACTCTAATGCACAAACTGACTTAGTGGAACCCATTCTATATGGAGAGATACATTGCTCAGCCTAGGCACAGGGGTGTGGGGGGTGGAGGGATGCCTTGGTCCTGCCTCAATGAGATGATGGGACAGGCTTAGTAGACTTCCTAGGGGAAGCCTTACTCTCTCCAAGGAGCTGATGGGAGGTGGGAGGGGAGTCGGAGAGCGGGAGGAGAGAGGGAACTGGGATTGGAATATAAAAAATAAATTAATTTTTTAAAAATTTTTAAAAAGAAATTATGTGGGAAGTGACAGAAGACATCCACCATGGACCACTACCTCCACGCGTGCATGTACACACACACACACACACACACACACACACACACACACACACACACACACACCTATTTCTGTACTGTGGTTGCAGTTCAACTGGTAGAGTATTTTCCAAGCTTGAACAAAATCCTGTGTTTGACCCCCTGAACTACATGAACCAGACACAAAGGATAACCTGTAATCCCTGTGCCTTCAAGGTAGAAGCAGGAGGACCAGAAGTCCAAGGTCGTCTTTGGCTACACAGCAAGGTTGAGGCCAGCCTGGACTACATAAGATCCTTCCCTTAAAATGTGAAATTTTAAAAGCATCTTTGCTAATCAGAGGCTATAAAATTAAAACTACATACATCTGTCTCATGACCTTTGCCTACAAGGAAAAATAAGGGTCTGGTGACTGAGAGCAGCCTCTCCCAGAATGATGACTGTGTAGGGTTCCTCCCTTTCCTCTATTTCAAAATCTGCAGGTGTGACAAACTCCAGGATGAAGCCTGACGCTTCCCTGCATGTACTAGTCCCCAAGCTGACAACCTCAGTGTTTATTATAATACCTTTTTAAAAAGATACAGCAGTTTTTCATAGGTTCCTCTGCTAGTACCCCTCCCTGGTGCTAGCCTTCCCCTCGTGTCTTTAGGGAATAAGGGGCAGCACCAAGAGTGCCGAATAAGGACAGTCTCTTAGCAACAAGTACTACAGACAGCTGCAAAGGTCATAGCATTTCAAGGGAGAAAGGGAACTCTTCTCAGACTTCACCCTGGAACTATGCCTGCCTGGCAGATTTTTGTCTGATGTGTACAGAGCAGATGGATGGAGGATGGATGGATGGATGGATGGATGGATGGAAGGAAGGAAGGAAGGATGGATGGATGGATGGATGGATGGATGGATGGATGGATGAATGAAAAGAAAAGAAAAAGCACCCACTCATGTAGGTACCACCCACCACAGCCTTTCTTGGCAGGTGAGTAGTCCCTAGCCACTTGTCCCGTGTGAGCTGGCTGTGGGTCCCTGACTGGGGAAGTTCACCTCCCATGCTAGGAATTGCTTTGCATAGTAGGAAGTCTCCCTAAGTAACCCACCTGGATGTGCCAGGACCCTGGGCTTCAGGAACACACTCTTTAGGGAGTGCCGATGGGCCAAGTAGGGACTGTCTCTGAAGCAAGGTCAAGGGGCATGAAGGCAGGTGAGTGCAGTGTTTAGCTACCTGCGTGCTCAGGCTAGCAGGGTAGGGCCGCCAGTGGTTGCCAGAGCTTGCAGCGGGCGGGGCCAGACGGGGCGGGGTGCGGACTCCTACACCTCCTGGGCACCCGCGGCCACATTCGTGACCGAAGCTGACAAGTGGACACCTCTGAGGCTCGGAAAAGGTCAGAAGTCACGCTGGGGCAGGGTCTCCGGGGTTGGGAGAAAGAGAGGCACTGCCTAAGGGAGCTCCACCTAGGAAGGGAGGCGTGGATCCGGAGGGGAGACGCCAGGAAGGGGACTGAGACTGATAAGGGGCACCGGGGTTTGGAGGCCAATCGGATGGAGGAACGGTACTGGAGTGAAGAGGATACCTAATACCTCGTAAGCCGTTGGTCGCCCCTTGGGGCTGGGAGCAGTCCTGCTCACGAGTCCCCGCGGAAGTTGCTCCTCTGCACTGTGTCCCCAGGTCCTGGGTCCACAGCTTTACCGGTGACGCGAAGGTGCGAAGTCCGGCATCCATTCCTCCTGGGTGGAACAGGGGACTTAACTTAAGTGGCGCGCCTACTGTGGAGACCCGGGGTTGTTTTTAGGCTGCCAGCTTGGCTTGGGTTCACTTGAAGCCCATTTGTCGCTCCCTGTTAGCTAGGGCTCCACAAATCCAGGAACGAGATACGTTCCTTAGGCCAGGAAGTCTGGTAACGAGAGACGGTTGATACAGCCCCTCCAGCCATCATTTGGCCTCTGTCTCTAAAAACAAGGAGCAAAGCAGAAGATTGGCCCTAGAAAGGAGAACCCGAAAGGGGGGAACCTGTCTGAATCCAGAGGGACTGGCCTTGGAAACAAGCCCCGCCCTAAATGAAAAATAAAAATAAATGAAGCTTTGCACTTCAGTCAGGGAAAGGTGGGCTTCATAAAATGAAGTTTAAAAGGTTAAGAGCGACTGCCTCTCCTAAAGTCTCAGCAGCAGCGACGGTTGCTTCCGTTCCTTCCGTTCTCTTTCCCCTTCTCCCCACACTGCTTCCCATGCCGCCCCACCCTGGGTTCCATTTGACTTCAGGATTAGTATAGTCATCAAAGCTGCAAGGCAGATGCGTTTATCTAACTACACACCCATCTAAATAGCTACTATGGTTCATTGTCCACTAGCAACCTGCGCTGTCGTTTCTGTCAATATGTGCTTTCTACTCAGTAGAGTCTGAATTTTGAACCCCAAGAAGCAGCTCTTTCATGACAGTTTGTTGGCTTAATGATACTGTGATCACCTGCTGTTCTGTAGTTTCCGGAAAAGATGTGGGAAAGATAGTGAGGTTCCTTTGGTTTTACAAAGTAGAGATCCTGTGATGATAAGCAAGGCATTGTCTGGTTGCACAGCATCTGTAATAGTATTATAAAGACCCAGAATTCTTCCTTCTCTCCAAAGGCTTTGATTTGCTCTCGCTGAGGAAGGTGCAAACGGTACCAGGGCAACACTTTATCCCTTGTATTCTATGGCTCTTCCCCTACCTACCTTTCTGGTGGATACTGCCTGTGTGAAGGTCAAGATGAAACCGTTGAGCCTCGTTTTATCTGAGAGCTCCCCTGTAATGCTCTTGGTTATAGCTATGACTTAATCTTGGACCTTAAAAAGCTATGACGTAAAAACAGCACTTTGACACAAGGCAAGCATGGCCAGCATGGTGTTGCCCTCCCAAGAGTTTGGTTTTCATAAAGCATCATCAATGTCTTGTGGGTAGGACAGCAGAAAGGGCATTTGTGGAGCACAGAATGATTTATGTACTAGAAAATAAGAGTAGGGTCTCAACTCCATATGAAAAACTGAAACCAACCATTCTGTACCTGGCCAGGGCTGCACATTTACAAAATAGTAGAGCTGGGACTCCAACCTGAATGCTTTCCAGAATACTACAGTTCATACTAGACAATTTTGCAGTATTATTTTTTAAGCTTTGTGATAGAAGACTGTAATTTGTTTCCAACCTGAATGTTTTCCAGAATACTACAGTTCATACTAGACAAATTTGCAGTATTATTTTTTAAGCTTTGTGATAGAAGACTGTAATTTGTTTTCTGTTAAATAGTCACACATTTGTTTTTATACATTATTTATTCTTCTTAGATTTATACGATGTATTTTGGTCGTATCCATCCCACACTTTCCCCCCTCCAACTCATTCTGAACCCCAACACACACACACACACACACACACACACACACACACACACACACACACACTTCCCTCCCAACCTCCTTTCTTTTTAAACTCATTAAATCAAACCAACACTCAAACTATTACTCCCGTGGGTGTGAAGCCACCCAGAGTATGAGCAACCTTCCTCAACAAAGGAGGGTGCCTTACATGTCTCTCTGCTATCCATTCTGGAGCGTTGATTGTCTTGATCTTGTACAGGTCTTCAGGTCCTATGCAGCTAACCATATGAGTTTGTGAGTAGTGTCCATTAAAAAAAATTCTTAGCAATTATCCCTGACCTTGGACTTTGAGCTCTTACAAACTTTCCGCCATTTCTTCTGCAATATACCCTGTAACTTGGGTGGGGAGAGAGGTGTTATATACATGTTACAAGTCTTTTTCTGTCCCACCAGTCAGCTCCCAAATAATGACATGGAGACTTCTTATTAATTATGAAAGCTTGGCCTGTATCTTAGGTTTGTTCCTAACTAGCTCTTGTAACTTAAATTAGCCCATTTATACTAATCTGTTTTCTATCACATGGTGGTACCTCTCTTCCATCTTGCATCTCCCGTTTCCTCTCCTCTTCTTCTTTTCTCTCCCTGGAAATTTTGCCTATACCTGCTCCTGTCTAGCTATTGGCCATTTAGCTTTTTATTACACCAATCACAGAAATACGCCTTCACACAGTGTACAAATATCTCACAACATAAACACCCGTTTACTGCTGAGCACTCCATGGCCATGTATTCTTTGCATTGCCCACTGGCAGAAAAAGCTTCTCAGATCAGGACTGAAAGCTGCATTGATTTATGGGTATGAACAAAAGTATTTCGAATGCAGTTTGATACTATATTTAGCACACTGATAGTAGTAGGCTCCTTCCTAGAGTTTACGGCCTCTCCAGTCACAGGTTCCTGGAGAGGTTTATGACACCAGGCGTGAACTCCCTCTTGTGGAATGTGGGCCTTATAGTCAATAAAAAGTAGCCAGTAACCCCCATAACATTCATGCCACTGATGCAACATTGGCAGTATCCTTCCAGGCCAGTCGTTACTGTAGCTCTCACGAATTCACAGCTGGGTAAAACTATTGATGACTCTCCTTCCCTAGTAGCATACAAAGACTTTTTCAGCACTGTGAAAGTGAGCCAGCAGGGAGGAAACGTCCGGTTCAGTACTTGCTTGAATATCCTATGACCAAAGTGTGTAATATCTTCAGCAATCGTCTTGCTATCTTGTTCTGATGGATAATCAAGAGCAATGACAAGAGCCTGTATTGTTTTAGGGATTGCTGGGACGCCTCTGACCAACAACACAGAGAGAAGTACCCCATGTCAGGCATCGGGATTTTTGTTTAATAACTATGGCTTCTAGAAAGGAGAATAATTCCTCTATCTAGGGTACTTCTATTCAAACTTTTTTTTTTCCTGATTTTTTGAAATAGGGTTTCTCTCTGTAGCTTTGTAGACCAGGCTAGCCTCAAACTCACAGAGACCCACCTGCCTCTGCCTCCTGAGTGCTGGGAATAAAGGCATGGGCTACCACTGCCTGTGTATTCAAACTTTTTAAATTCTATTTTTCAGTGAGCTTATAAAATAGATTTCCAAATGGCGTTTTCAAATCTCCTCAGTGTTAAGTTATCCCTCTCACACTGCTTTCCTGAGCAATCCCACTCGTCTCCTTACTTAACACCTCCCATTATTCCCTCTTCTCTTCATATCACCTGTGTTCTACTGAAGGACGGACATTAGAATTCACCAGACCAGTACAACTGAAGTGGAGTTTATTAGTAAATAACTTACACAGAAAACAATAAGTAACTATGGTGGCGTTCCTGCTCTAAGGAGACAGACCCTGCTCCCCGATGCTCTCTGCGACCAGAAGGGGCTTTCTGACCCCTATCCTTTTCCTTTTAACTGGTCTCGTCCATACCTGTGACCACACCCAAAAGGCGTGGTCAGTGCTACTGGTGTGGACGAATATATTACTACAATTCTCTTTTAGTCTAAAGAAGAAGGTTTAGGCTTGATACTAAACTATATACAATGATAGCAAATATCAAGTATGCTCTAGGAAAAGGAAAGGTACACAATTTAAGACCTTCTGCCAGTGAAGTGCTATTTGTAAGCACTATGTGTCCAGTCACAGGGTAAATGTATAACAGAGATTACTATGAAGTTGTCCTAAACTGGAAAGTTTAAGTCTTGTACCTAATATTTTTATCTAAGAAGAGAAGACAGTAACTGTGACAGTCTAATCTTTAACTTCATCAAAGACCTGAGAAGGAGGATAACAATACTAGGGTAGGCAGGAAGTGCAGGTGAGAGAGAGACTTCCAACAGGTGCCAGCAGAGACAGAAACAGCAGACCACCTGGACAGTCACGCAAAGCCCCCCAGCAGCATAGGGCGACCAGCTTTGGCTAAGGCCTAGAGTATCAGACTGACCAACACAGAAGCAGGGAAGTTGAAAGACTGTCTTACCCTGAATTGGCAGGGTTCAGCGGTCTTCTAAATTTATCCCCTGCAAGCACAGTAGGACAGCATGTCCAAAGTCAGCATTCGAGATGGGGGCAGTTTTCTGCCCAAGAGGCCAGTAGCCGAGGAGAAAATGAACTCCAGAAGGAGTGTCATTGGTGCACAACATACTCTCAGGAATAGCTTGGTGCTGTCAGGAGCAATTGTGTCTCATGTCAACTAAAACATTTAAATGCCATATTCTGCAGGTCTTTGAAGTGTTCTCCTCATAGGTATAATAAATATGGGTAACTATAATCTGTAACTCTCAGAAACATATTTGCTCATTGGCTGAAGCTTCCCAAAATAATTTAGCAAGGACAATGGCTTCAAAAAAATGTAACTATACACACACACACACACACACACACACACATAGAGAGAGAGAGAAATTTCAATAACTACTGAAATGTCTTGACTAGAGGTAGAACTGTAAAGTGCAATATAAAATATCCTAAGTTATACCAATATATAAT